CGTAAATATTATTCCTAGAAGTAGAAAAGTATGTCTGAACGAGATGCTTTTCGGAAGATGTTTACCCCATTAGTGTTCATTTCAACCAGCTTATGCGACCCATTAGCGTTCTTTCTTACTTTCAGAGAACAGCTGCGCCAGATACGAGATATACACGCTACTCGAAATTAAAAACATTGTTAATTCAAATTGCTGTTTATTGCCGCAGCGTCGCGTTTTATACGTCTCGATAAGGAGCGAAGCTATATTGCATCGTAAAAATTGTATCCGACGCAGTTTGTATCGGAATTCCGCTAAATCGATATGCAAGAGAGGCGGCAAACAATAACGTATGAGTCAGGCTAGCGCTGATAAGCCGCGTAATGCTATCTTTGCTGAGCTTGAGATATTCGAACGCGATGGAATTCGAGCGCGGCTTTGGACGATCGATAATAGAAAAGATCGTCGCCAAGAATCTGTGTCGTGCGTTCGCGCATTCGTTTGAGAAATCCCTTGCTCAGCTGCATCTCTCGCAAGCGGAGGCGCGTGATGCCGTCTGTTCGTCCGCTGAAAAAAAAGGGAAAAAAAGGAAACGGAGTTCTCGAGCAGTTCGAGCCTTTGATTTTGCTTATCCGACACCGAGAAAGAGAGAGAGAGAGAGGTAATGGCGTACTTCGTTAAATTAATTGGCTCCTTGGAGCGCCACGGCAGCGAGTTAGTGCCACTAAACTTCAGCTCCGATTATACGAAAGAACTTACCGGGTAATTTCCCGTCGAAATTACGAGTAAGCGAGCGAGCCGTCTCGCGCGGAAATATACTAAATAAATAAATTCAAATAATTAGTCGTGCGCGATAAATATTATTCGCGACGAGTTAATTCGAAAAAGGATTTTTTTCGAAAACGGTTTACGACTGACTCGCTCTTCGATATTTGCGATGGTTTTACGATCAGCAATATCTTAATAATATCTTGAAAATGTTATAATTATTCTTTCAATCAGATATATAATTTTCAGGTAATGAATTCTTCGGCTAATATGTCTCTAATTGTATATACTTAATATCCATATATACAATATATGCTTTCTCTATAATATGTCAGCACAATACATTGTTATGCACATATCGATTTTGAAAAAAATCTAATTTCAAAAATCGATATGTGCATGACAACGTAATCAAGATTCTTTTATCCTCCATCTAACAATAGAAAAAACTCACATTCACATAAATATAAAAATTCAATAAATATATGTACAAATAATATAAGTCTGTGAAAGTGTACCAATTCTTTAAACTTCAATATCTCATAATTATAAAAATGGAATTAGTCCTTCAAACTTATTCTTAGCATTTCGTGTATGAAATAATTTAGAAGTAAATATAATAAAAAGATTCCGGATGTATATCCCACTCGTATATTTAAATCATTTCTTTTATTAGAAATCAATTTTTATAATATAAATTTTTCAAATTTTGTAAAAAATAATAATTGCAAAAGATTTATTCACAACACAATTTAATTTATTAGTACACAAATAAAAATACTAAAAAAGAAGAATATCTAAAATAATTTTGTATATCTTTGTTTAGACGATACAGGATGTTTTATATATAGATAAACAAATAAAAATTATCAGCAAATTAATATTAAATACATCAATTAGAACGTTATTTTATTGACGATAATTTAAAAGGAATGTATACACATTTATTTCTTACACCCGTAGAAAATACTTGGAACTACATCGACGTTATAATCGCGTGTGTAACTAAAAGTGAATGAATGAAAATTTGTGTGAGTAACTGAATAGAGACATAAATCTCATGCAATAAGAAACTCGATGACAGAAGAACACGTAGTAACTAAACGACTTCACACCTTATTCGGTGACATTATATACACGTAAACAACTAAAACATGTCAAAAAAAATCTGCATATCTTATTTCAATTGTATGTGCATCGAGTTTAAAGAAAACCGAACGAAAGCTCACTCGAGCGTGTATCTTTAAAAAATTAGAGATAATGTGAGAAAGAATGTCAAGAGAATAAGAAAAAGATACGAGAAGAAGTCAATGAACACTCGAAACTACACCGATTCATAATAGCGTGTGTAAGTAAAAATGAATGAAATATATTTGTGAAAGAAAGTAACTAAATGAAGACATAAATCACTGCGATAAGAAACTCGATGACAGATGGACATGCAGTAGTTAAACGATTTCACACCTCGAGGTGTGATGTGCGACACATAAACAGCTGAAAATTGTGAAAAAAGTGTCGGCATCTTTTTTTAGATTTTATCTAAGTATCGAATTTCGTCAAAACCGAGCATTCTCAAGCTCGAAGCGTTTCCTTATATAAGGGAAAAAAGATAACACGAGAAAGAGTCGAAGAGGATAAGAAAAGGAAAGCGAGTAGAAAATTGAGAACGCCAATAAAACACGATGTTTCACCAATAAGACGAGACATTTCGCGAGTCAACGAACTTTTCTATTGGATCGCGATGACTCCGCGCGGATTATTTATTTAGGCCAGAAAATTCAATATACATCGATAAATCGTAAGGCGTGTCATACGGATCCACAATGTATCTCCCAAATCACGATTTTTTTATTAAATTATTAAAATTATATGACTATTAAAATAATATGATGATAGAAATTGCAATTTGTCATATATAACTGCATACAATTTAATCGACACTTAATCGCTTTTAGAAAGAGGATAAAGATATGGCAATGTGTATATTAATTAATTCGCATGTAATTCATAAAATAGCATATTATAACTAATTATGGGCTATATCAAGCAATGACTCTGCGTGGATTAATTAGTATATATTAATGCATTAACATTAAAAAAATCTTTGCTTGCAGCTTGCAATCTCTATTCTTTTTCTAAATAGCGATTTTGATTTTCAAACAATTATTTGTCGATTATATGTATTATTTACAATTGTATGACAAATTATGCAATGTTAGAAATTTTGTGTTGCAAATCAATTATGTGTGAATGAGAATTTAACACAATATGCATTATGAACTTGACGCATCGCCATCAATTTAATCGAATAATCAAAAATACTCCGAGAAATGATCGCAACTTTATGCATCGGGTCTAGATTGACAAGTGACAGAATCGCTTTCATTCTCTAGGCGTACTATAATGTAGCATGTTCATTAGCAATTAAACGGATTGTATTTGTAATAACGTATTTATTGTTCAATTAATTAAATTGATGAGATTGACATTGTGTTGCAATATTTATTAATATTTGGCAATAATTCTCATATTATGCATGTTATTCGCATCCATATTACACAAACCTCAGAGAAACATTTACGAGTTTTATCGTAAAAATAAATTTATAAAGCACGCTATTTCATATACCTTTCTTGTGATCTCACAAAAATACATTTTTGTCTCTACGAATGATATGAATCACATACATTTCCGATGCAATGTTGCAATGAATCTTATTGTAAATTGAGATTTAATAAAAAGAATCTCCGTTTAAAAACGAACAAATGATATACCTACGTATTCCTTCAACTCCCAGCTTCCGCTAGATCGCGTCTTAAATAGTCACGTTGATAGCTAGTTAAAGTTCGAGTAGATAAATTGAGAATTTTTCACGAGTAAGCTTTTAATTAACGGATAGCACACTTCATAAATATACTTTTTCATTCGTCTGCATCTCTGAAACGCATTCCGTATGGTCTAAAAAAATTATTAAAAATTTTTAATATATACATTTATATAAATAATTCGTAAATGATGTTGCAACATCTAAAGGTGATTATTAAATGGTCGAGTTAAATGTTCAATAAACGAAATGCCTTTCAAGGAAACACTTGTAACTACCCCGACAATGTATTCACGAGTGATGGTAAGTAAATGTGTGAAATAAGTTAGGAAAACATAAATCACATGGAATAGGAAACTCGATGACAGATGGACATGTAGTTAAGCTGTCAACATCTAAACAATTGAAAGTCGTCAAATAAATTTATCTGCGTAGCGCGTTAGTGGAAGTCGAACGGTATCTTTAAAAAAATAGAGATAATGCGAGAAAGACGCAAAGAAAGGTGAGAGAAAATATTCGTAACGCCAATAAGACGGGAATTATTTCGTGTCCAGTTTTTTTCGACATAAAATATATTCGTTTTCATATGTATATCGTCATAATCACGAAACATCTTATTGTAAGCAATAGCTAATCATTAGCTTTATTAAATATTAAATGCGCGAAATATTTAAAAAAATAAATTACTTATATTTCGTAACACACATATCGCCATTGGCTCAAGACGACGTTTCGTGGGCGAAAATAAGTTAAAAACTACCATCCGCACGAAACGTATATTTTACTTAATTTGTGGGTCACGAATCCGAAAGGCTTTTTTGGTCGAATGAGCTACGTAGGGAACGCACCTCAAGGGCTCGTTAAGAATTTCATTCTTAAAATCGGTGGCCACTTACCGGCAGGTGGCCCGCCATCAGCATCAAATCAAACGCGTAACGTTAACTGAATTTAAATTGTCGGAGAGCCGCCGCTGGGCACCCAAGGATTACCATAATTTATGCGCCCTCGCGCCTTCGAATAAGCCACGCTCTGATCCTGAAGCTCTTTATTATAAATCCAAATCGAGCGCATAATTTCACTAGATATAAATATCTCGCGGGAGCAAGAAGGAAATTAGATTATATCCGATGAAAGGACCAAGCGCGATATTCGTCCCACAAATCCCGTCACTCAATAATCCCAACAATATCCTGTCTAATCGAGAACTCAAATTATAATCCGCCAAAAAAAATGTATATGTACATTTGCACGTATGTGCATATGAATATAAAATATTTATTGTTCGATTAATTTATAAATACAATTTTTATATTTCTGTAATATTAAACGAGTATGTAATATAACTGTAATATAACGAAATTAGAGAAACTATATTTTGTTTAATTCACTAAAAATTATTACGAATGAATTATATTTAATAATAGGTGAGATATATTACAAAATTTTCAGAATAAATAAATAATTATTTGTGAGGAAGAGGCAATTCTGTAGATTTATTGTGAGCTCATTTATTCGTAGAGACGTCTTCGTTTACATAACAAATGGCTCTAAAGACTATTAAATCCTGTACAAATTCAAGTAAAATAAATTGCGTACGAATGTTGCAAAACGATTCTTTCAAGGATTTTGCAAGATTAGTAGTTGCTCGGGCATACCGACTATTAAAGTAATTGACTATGAAATATGTTTCTCAAAGGATCCAATTAAGATCTATTACTCGGAGACCTTTATCACGACGCAGTAGCAGCGGCCCATTATTGAAGAACCCGACTCATGCTCCGACCCGAAGCTTTTCTCAAACATTCGTGTCATCGTTCTCTCTTGACGATTTATTATCATCTCCGAGACCCGCGCTTGCTTGCTCGCGTCGTCAAGTTCCTCTCCCGACATTCATTATGCACCGTCACCGTGATTCGACCGATGAACTCTTCGCATAAACACGCTCGTCGAGCGTTCGTCGCGTACCAGCTGGTCCTGAAAATAAAAATCAAAGCTGTTTGGAAAGTTACCTGAGCGAAGCGAATGTTCGGAGGTAAGAAAAAAGGGTGGTTATTTTTAAATCGTCAGAAATGTGAGGCCATGTTTACCGCATGGTACTAATCGTGATCAGTCGGGGGTGTCGAGTGACTAATGAGGGTTAAAGTCACAATGCTTTTTCACGCTGCAGAAGGATGGGAATCTTTGCGCCTGCGAGGTACTTTTTTTATCTTTTATTTCAAGCCAACACCGTGAATAGATATGCTATGAAATTCAGATTGATTTTAAATAGTTTATCATAAGTCATTATATCTGTTCATAAGATCTGCATTTGTTGCTAGTAGTTTATAAATTTTTCACAAAAGACAATTTTTAATTTAAGAATTAAAGATATTTATCAATTTAATGATAATAATTATTTATTGATAATAAATTATATTATGATATGACATCATGATATTACATTATATTTGTTCATATATAAGATCTGCATTTGTTGCTAGTAGTTTATAAATTTTTCACAAAAAGTTTGACAATTTTAAATTTAAGACTAAAGATATTTATTAATTTAATGATAATATTATTGATAATAAACAATTGTCTTTGTCCAATAAAATTATGAATTTAATTTGTTTACCAAAATCATACAAACACACTTAACGATGTTCTCTCCAGTTTTGAATAGGTTTGCTCATACATTAGCATAAATGTCGTAACTCTACTACTCTAACCAAGGTTTATTTATAACTTACACGGACATTATCGTTTGCTTTACTTCGTATATATCAGAGTACATCGCCGTAGGGTTCATGTTGTACAAGATGTATCCGGGGATGTGCATACACAGTTTGCGGTGAGGAGGATTCATAAGCAGAGTGTACGACGGAACGATATTCGACTGTGATATGATGGAAACTCAGACGACTATCCGGAATCCCGAATATGCACGTCGTCTTGCAAGTTCAATCATTTATTCATTCTCATTATTATCTAGCTATAAGCATACATCACATTTTCTTCGTAATATAATTCCACTTGATCTCTCAATGAAAACAGAATTACGTACAAAATACTCTACATTTTTTTTACAGTTCACTTTCTCATTGAATGATCAATGATCAAGGTTAATTTGCAAAAGCAATTAGCACGTGGAGTTTGAATATTCACCGCCTCATTACGTAGCAACTATTCGTAGAATAGAATCTTTCGCGTCATTTAATGAACAGAGATATTCGGCCGGCAAAAGCGACTAACGCAAATCGAATCGCAGATGGACAATCCACTCGTGCACTTAGGAAATCAGTTTGCCTGCACTATTGCAAGATCCGCTGGTAACCGCAGAGTCGCGCAAAAGGGCGAGTTGCACTTGACGTAAAATAGCGAAGGGCGTGCTACGTTAAGAGGGAACGTCGAATGTCATTGGTGGTCGAAACGAGACGACGAACCCGGGGCTCTGGTTTATCCGCGAGGATATTGTACAGGGAACGAACAACAAACTCCTGCTCGTCGTTATCACGTTCTCTCCCTCTATCTCCGACCGACCTCCCTCTTCCCCAGGGCCATTTCTATTTGTCCTTCTGAGAGCCAAATCGTGTCGCAGCTTCCGACGGCACGCGTTCGCCAACCTTGGTGAACACGGAGCGTTCTCGGAGCTGCGCGAGCGGACGAAAGAACAAGGCAGGGAAAAGCGCGCGTATGTACGTGTACGTATGTAACCCATCTCGTGCCAACCGCCTGTTTTACGGCCGTAGAAATACACCGCGCGCTTACGACATTACCTAGTAATGCTACGAGGGTCCGTTAAAACCACGAAGAGGCGTTTAATGCTTATACGGGGGACGAACTACACCGGATAGTTTCGCGGTCCCAGCCTGACTTAATCTCCTCGAGACCAGCCTCCGTTTCGTAAAAAAGAAAATATCGTGAGTATACAGCAATGTTGATTTAATGTCTTCATAAAGCTAAATGTAATAAATATTTTTATATATTAAATAATTATTAAATATATACACATAAAATTTACTATTAATTCTTTTCCTAAACTTTGTTTCGTTCGAGATATAGTGTACTTGAATTTACATTATTTTCTTGACAACTCTGCTCAAATCTTTTTGTACGCTAGTCAAATGTGAAAACAATATAAAATTAACTGGAAAAAAACAAGAGGCATATATTTTTCTAAGCAAGCAAATAAATTACTCTTCCCATCATCGAGGAATTGTCCGTGACGAAGGTTGTTTATGCCACCTCGTGTCAATTGGTCGTTTTACGAGCGCGAAGACCTGCCGCGTCTTTACGACATTACGTGGTAATGTTATGAAAGGTGCCATAAAACTGTAAACGATGTAACGATGCTGTAGAGACAAAACTGATGCGAGTTATTAATAACATTTTCTTAATTTATTAAATAATTAAATAAATTTGCTAAAAGTGATGTGTTTACATGTGAAAAGGTTTTATATTTGTAGAAAATTAAAAATTTAATAATATATTTTTTTATAAATTTTCGATCTGTACTGTATATATATTCAATCTTTTATCATTCTTTAAATCCACACTTTCAAGAATATAAGATTTCCCAATTAATCAAGATCAATAGCGAATTAATAATCATTAAGCGTATATACAAAATACTAAGGATATAAAAGTAAGATAGAATCAAGCTTCCTCTCTCTTTCTCTCGCAGATTGCTTAGATAAGTGATTTGTATACGTAAAGGTGTTTCATTCACATATTCAACCAGCCGTACGACTAATTCGCATTCGCGACACAGCCGTGATTGTCCAAATGAATAATTCATTATCACCTATCAAGCTTATCAAAGAATGTACCGATGGTACCTTCTTCTTCTACCTTTTATCTTTACCTACTGCTTTTTTCTTCTCTTCAGCAAAGAATAAAAAATTATTCTTCCACGAAAACTCGCACAAATTATTCCTTTAAAAAAATTTGAAATTCGGAAAGAAAAACAATAAATTGATAGAATCGATTCAATCACGAGAAACAAAGATTGTCGACATTCTTATAACTGAAAGAATGTCTTTTTACTGGTTTCTGGAAGTGACTCGGTAGATAATTCATTTTTTTGGTCAACTGTTCTTGATCTTTAACATCTAGCCTTGAATTATTTCTTTGATATCTTTGCAATCTTTTTCGAAGACATTTTGCAAATTGATTTTACATTATTCGTCTATCTATGTAAAAAACACACAAAATGTATTTAAACAAAAGCAGCATTTTTTTAGTTAAATTGCCTTTCAGAAAAAATTAAAATAGAATATTATTAGTCTATGTCAATTACATGTGTAAATAAAATGATTAAATATTCGTTCTCATTAACATTAAATAAATATTAAGTAAAAATGTAAAAACTAAAAGAGAAAAAGAAGGAAAGAGAGAGAAGAAAATGTCCCGGAGGAACGGAATAATTTAACGATCTCTGTATTTAATCCGCAAACTAATAGCTTCCTGAATAATTGCCGTGCCATTTTTCCACCGTTACCGGGCGAAATAGCCATCATATTTGCGACGGTGATCGGTGAAACAGGCTCGACACCATCTGAGGCTTTCTGAATGAGTCATCAGTGCATTGGGAGCATTATCGTGTGCAACCTGGGGCCCCGCCGGTGACTTCCAGCATATAATAAATAGCTATGACTCTGCCATTGCGTTATATCCTTCCCCATGAGGTACTGGGACACTCAAATCCAAAGTAACGAGAAAATTTAACTCCTCGCGAAAAAGAAGGTAATATATGACGAGCAAAATAAAATAATCTTATTTAAAATATTACATAAAATTTGATATACTAATAAGATATAGGTATAGGTATATCTAGCAACAAAAATATGAATCGTTCAAGAATATTAATTATATAAAAGTTTTTTAAAAGTTAATTATATAAAAAGTTTTTATTAATTATATAATTACACTGAAGTTATAAAGAAGAATTTATAGATTTTTATTTCCTTACTTTATGACAAATTATACAAGTTTTAATTTTTTATTTTATTTTTGATAGAAAACAATTGCATTAAAATTAATTGTGTCTCTCTTCACTTCCGTATATTTTATTACAATAGCCCTATCTGTATGGCATTTTTCAATGGAATAATTTATTGAGAGATTTATTTATCGACGTGTCGACGGCCGGTTTATAACATGCGTGATAAAATGCATAATCACGCACGATGAGTTCAGCCATATGATGTGATCAATTCACATAGAATTTAACATCTTGGTTTAGCACGGGTCATCAACTATCGTAAAAGTAATCATGTCATTCTAAAGAGCTGACACTTTACGGCTCGTAAAGCCATATAAGCGATGAGACTCATTTGCCATATTATTATGGGACACGAAGCCATGAATGACGCCGTGATTCTTCCATTCCGAATGCGCTGATTTTCAAGAGTTCTGCTTATGTTAAAGCAGTTTTCGCAGTAGTTCTGAACATGTACATTGCCTTTCTAAAGAGTTTTAATGAAAATGAGTGATAGAATATTTTTTAAGAAATTGTTTCCATCCACATTAATGCTGAATGTGACGTTTTGAGTATTAAAATTATATCCACATTTACAGTTAACTTTTGTTTTATGACTCGATATGTCACGTAGAAAATATTGAACCAAATGTGCAACGTTACATTCTAATTGTTTTACTGGTTTTGTGAACAATTCCATTTTAAACAGTCCTATTTTCGAAAGTATGTTTGCTCCTCCAAGTGATCATGAGTGCGATGGCATCAAATCGAATTTATTACGAGACACTTAAAAATTCGATTAATCAGACCATACAACTGGCTCAGAAAATATTAAAGAAGCAAAAGTGAACGAAGGTCGATTATCGAGAAAGAGCAAACATACTTTCGAAAATAAGACTGTTTAAGATGGAATCGTTCGCAAAAACAGTAAAACGATTAGATGCTGAATGTAACGTTGCACATTTGGTTCAATATATTTTACGCGACATACCGAATCATAAGTTAACGGCAAATG